GACATTTAAGTAGCTTTTGGTATCCAAATTTCTTTGGATCCTTGAACGTTAGTTCAATGCCCCTTGTTCCTTTCGGAACCCATACTTGCCTAATTTTAAAACGTTTTCATTTCTTCAAAGGACAAGTATGTTCCTTATGACCATGATAATGACAATGTGAGCATATTGTCATTATTGAACTAGATAAATTATTTAAAATGATTTCTTTTTCTTTTGTTAAGCATTCAAGCTTAACTTTTAAATCAAAATTTCCTTTTTCAAAACTTTCAATTTTCATTTTTGAAAGCTCTAAATCCTTTTTCAAAATTTCATTTTGCTTTTCAAAATCCATTTTTGCTTTCAAAAGAAAATTGTTTTCTTGTTTATATTTTGAAATCATTTTTTTATATTTGGAATTTATGGTCTCAAATCCCAAATACAACTTATTATAAACATCTTGTAACTCATCAAAAGAATATGAATTAAATTAATTTGAGTTAGAAAATACCTCGGGCTCTTCACAAGCCATTAAATACACCACCTTTGTTGGTTCTTCTTTCTTGTTTCCATGGATTTCCTCGAGCTTATTCCAAAGCTCCTTGGCACTTGAACATGAAGAAACTCCTTTATAGATTTCAGGACCAAATGCACACAACACCATGTCCATGGCCTTGGCATTAAATTGAGCTTTCTTCTGTTCTTTGTCACTTTTCTTCTTCTCCTTCTTCTTTAGAGAAGAGTAGTCGTTCTCGATTATCTCTCATGCATCAAGATCATTGGATTGGATAAATACCTTCATTAATTTCTTTCAATTACGATAGTTGACTCTATTGAAGTATGGAGGCTTGTCCGTTGGTAGGTAATTTTCCATGTGGAACGAGCCGGAGGTAGAAACCATCTTCTCGGTTGTATCGAGAATTAGTAGAGCTTCTTCGAGGATCGTCTCAAGGTGGTTAAACCTTCTTAATGAGTTAGGCTCTGATGCCAATTGTTGGGATTTTCGTAAGCTCAAATCGACAACCGGAACGGTTTGCAAAGAGGGGTCAGAACGATTTTGTGTTTAGAGAGTAAGGAGATTGAAAGATAGAGAATTGCATAGCGATTTATAGTGGTTCGACTTTCTCAACCAAAGTCTACGTCCACTTTCTTAGCTCCTAACTAAGGGTTTTCCAACAAATTCACTAATTTGTTCTTTCTTTTTAGGACAAAGAGATAACCTTACAACTCTCTAGTTTTTCCGGGCTAAACTAGAACATTTTCCCTTTACAAAAGGATAAGAAATGTAAACAAGAAAACCTCTCTAAGGTAGGTGTTTACAAGAATTAAGCTTACAAGAACAAAATATTTATAAGAGAAAGATGAAATAAGAATGAAAAACTCTTCTCTTGTGTTTGATTGCTTGGATAGTTGTTCTCTTACTTCTTCAAGTGTCCTTAGCTTGTATTTATAGCTTGGAATGTGTTTGATATCGTATATAACCGTTGGGGATGTTTTGGAGCCGTTTGGGGATATTTTTCTACTCAAAAAGGCTGCCCATAACATGGTGCATCAGTGCACTATCAAGGTGCATCGATACCCCTTCATTAAATTCAAATAAACTAGTTGTTACTAGCCGTTGCAGCCTTGGTGCATGGATGCACAGCAGGGTGTATCGATGCACTAATTACATTCAAAATGGAGTGCATGGATGCACTGCAAGCTGCATGGATGCACTGCAAGCTGCATCGATGCAGTAGTGGCAGGTGCATAGATGCACTGCAGGGGTGCATGGATGCACTGCAGGGGTGCATGGATGCACTGCAGGTGCATGGATGCACTTTGACACCCTTTAGCATTTTTGCTCAAATCCGAATTTAATGGACTTTGAATTATTTTTGAAACCTTTTTAAAACTTTGAATAAATTCAATTCAAGTCCAAAAACATTTTTCCTTAAATTTGTTATATCAAAACATAATTCGACACTTTTAGACTTAGGATTTTTAGTTTGATTATTTTATTATTATTTTTATTTAGGAATTAGTTATTTTATTAGAACTATTGATAGGACTTTTAGTTTGACTAGGAATTAGTCATTTTATTTACTCATAACTTTTGGGTTATAAATACTTTTAGGTTCAACCTTTGAACACAAATTGGAATTTATATTTCCTTAGTTATTTATTGAAGTTCTACTTTTCTTTCATATTTTTACTTTTCTCTCATTATTTTCTTTTCATAATGCTAAGCATCATCCAATCCATACTTAGGTAAATCTCTTTTAGTTGATAGCTTAGCAATGACTTAATCCGTTTCGTGAGAATTAAAAAGCGCTTCATACCTTCATATATCTTTCTTGATTTTCAGTAAACAAGGTTAGATAAAAATAACTTAATCTTTAAACTCTTTACACTTTCAATTCAAAGATTGCACCTTGACTTGAATGTTGTTTTGATTTACTGTTAGGGAGGAGAATCGACTTGTAGCAAATTCAAATCCCTAAGAACAAACTTAGCGGTAGCCCCCTAAGAGAAATCAAGATCAGGTTTGATTCTCATTGAGACGCATAATCTGAGCATGGGCTTTTCCAACATTAAAGAAGATATTGGCGTTAACATCGATAGTCGAAGTTAAATCAAAACAATAATTAAATTCCAAGGATTATAAAAAAGACTATATTTAGGGCATTTTCACTTAAGTTATTGATTGTTTAAAAGCCCATATAGGATCATATAGATGCATTTAGGAGCATATAGTTGCATGTGGTGGATATATATTTTGTCGTGGCATTTTATTTTGAAAATGATATTGGATTATGGGGAAGGTGCTTTGTTTGATGATGTGTAGGATTTGTGAGCAAGGATGCTCAAAGAGAATTATCGTGACAAATTAAGAATGTTAAGCATAATATGAATGTCGCGACTCAGACGACATTTTTGGAGTAGAAATGACAAAAGAAAATATTTTTATAACAAGCCATATGTCCTTGTCTGCACGTACACTCAGCTGCCAGCCAACTATCCTTGTCTGCGCTCACTCTCTGCTACCAACCACCTAGGAGGGGACCACTACCACCTTTGTTCCACCCCTCACGTGAATGGATGAACCTTGGGGTATCATGGGAATTTTGACACAAATCCTTAGGTTTATTCCCCACTATAAATAGAAAATGAGGCCACTAGATTTGATACTTGATTTGAGACCTTTTGAGCTTAAATTCTTGAGCAAAAAAATTAGAGGCGACTGAAAGAAAAAGCTTTCACCTTTTTCCTTTCCTTCACCTTTTCCATGGCATTCCTCCATTAGCAAGCTTGAAGGAGTGGCGAGCTAGGCGTCCGAGAAGATCTAGCGATCTAGGGTTGTTCGTGTTGGCTGAGGGGAACTCCGACAGTTCACGTCAAAGGCTTTTCCTCCGTCCCTTTGTTGTTTTTTATCTCTTATCATATTTGGGTGTTACGGAATGGATGAATTTCATTGGTTGTTTCATGGAATATTCAAACCACACCATGAACTAGCTTTATTTAGTGGGAGTTCACCATGGATGTTTAAGTTTTTCTTTAATTGATGGTTGTTTTTATTTATGTTTTTTTTTTTGTTTTGCTTATGGTGCTTAATAACTTAAGGTTGTATGAGCTATGAGAGTAGCCATTCCTTAGGAGACTACTTAGTGTTCGAGAGAAACTAAGTAAATCATCTTTCGTGTTCGAGAGAAACTAAGGAGGATTAACATAAGCAATAGGTTTTAGATAATAACTAAACCTAATCGACTAAAAGGAGTAGTGCTCGGTCGAGATGTTAAATGCTAGTGCTAACGTTGAGTGGTATTACTATGACATATTATGTTGATTTGAACTGATGGGGTCTATGCACATGCTAACGCCGAGAGGTATTGCTATGGTATTCTCAACCTGTCGAGTCCCTTGACTAGAGATAGCATAGGGCACCTTTAGTAAACTATGTCGGGCAAGTAAGACATAGAAGTAAGACCATCCTAAGAAGATAAACTTAAGTTTCCTAAATGACTTTTATCATCTATTCCTATAGTAGTTTGTTGTGTGAGGATTATCAAGTCATTTTATTCAAATCCAGTGTTTACATTTTATTTTGTCTTTACATTTTTATTTGATTCCACTACACACAATTTATTTTGCCATGATATTTCCATCCTCTTTGCCACAACATCTCCATTTACTATCACATCACACTATCATTCCATCCCCACCAACATACATTTCACAATGCCTCAGGATTCTCATTAGTACATACCATCACACTAACTATACTTAGATAAAGTAGTTCTTTTCTTTGATTGAACTTATAAATTTCCTCTAATCCATGTGAAGACGATACTCACTCATCATTGTACTACTTGTTTGATTGTATATACTTGCACATAGTTCGCGTCCATATTTAGTACTCACAAAACGCGGGCAGGTTGACTTTGGAAATTAGTTCACATGAGAGAATAACACATTACAAGTGTTGGGCCTTGTAGACTGTAACCGGCAAGAATCTCGAAGTAAAATCTATTTCAAGGATCGAGACAAGTCAAGTCAAAGGGAAGCTAGAGGCTATCTCCTATCATTATCTCTTTCGATTATTTATTTTTATTGTTTTTTCATTTTTTACTTAATTTTAGTTTATTCAATTAAATTCGATAAACCCCTTTTTATTTTATTTTACATATTTTATGGTTAGAGATCAAATCATATTTAATTGGAAATTCCTTAGTTCATGTGGATCCACCCTATTTCTCTATATTATTCTATTTATTTTATTTTATTTATTTAAATTAAGGATTAAATTTATTTATTTGACATAAGATGTGAACTCTTCCCAAAGTTAAGATGAACTTAATGGGCGAAAAGTGGGAGATCAATCGGCCCAGTATAATTGAGAGATGAAGAATCCAATTAAAAACCCACACCACGAGGGGCACAAAAGTCATTGTAGCAAAACAAGGCCTCTGCTTAATTCTCTCTCTGGTCTGATATTATTGTGGGTCTCGTTAGAAGAGGGACAAATTGAGTACGCCGAACAAAGCTCCGTCGAGAAGGGTTGAAACCCGCACCTCTTTTAAATTTACAAAACTCGAACTACAACGCATCAAAACATAGTACTTTCTCATACTGCCTTCTGTTTTTTTTGGTTGAAAATATTGGTTTTGTCAGCCTTTCGGCTATGCATCTTCTCCATTGCTCGTGAGTTTTCTTTATCCTGTTACTATTGAGGATATTTTGGTGCATTTGATTTGTTTTTCAGTTGAATTTATTCAATTTACAATGTTGGGTTCCCCTCTATTGCAGAGCTTGACATCTGCGTAAATGGCTTGGCGAAGGATTGGGAAGAAAGTAAGTGTTTTTTTCAATTGTATTGGGCTGAGATTGGAGACCTTGAAAATACAGATCTCTTAAGTTGTCATTGGTTGAATTTAGGGTTCCTTGAATATCTTGCATTCTGTCGATCACTAGTCCTCTACGGCATCTACTTTGTGACCGTTAGATGTATATTTGCAACTTCATTCATTGTAATATAGGGTAGGAAAAGGTATGGAAGTTATAAGAGTACTTGTTGCAGACTTGCAGTGTTAGTTGGGAATTCAGATGAGATTTTTTCTTCTTCTTATGCTTAGTTTTTAGCCAAGACTTTCAATCGGATAAGAACTCGATTGCATGCAGGTTTCCTTGATTTGTTTCTTTTTTACCCATATTCTATTCAAATAGCTTCCATCATTATTATAATTAAGTTCTTGAATATGATCATATTAGCAATACTGGGTCTTTATCTTTACTTTTGCATTGGGTGCAGCATATATATTGCTCCACAAGAAGACAGAGCCTGGTAGGTGTTTTGCAGGTGCCTTAGTTACCGATTGCTAATGTTTTTTTTTCTAACATTGTTTACAGGGACTTGAGGCCAGTCTCATTAGAGCTCTTGCTTCAGCGCCTGTAGGAGCTGCAGCTGGGTTAAATTCTACACCTAGTCTTGATATTGGTCTAAAATCAATTACTGCTTCTGTTAAATGCATACATGGTAAGCTGAAAAGCCGTCCAATTTAATTATGCTCGCCTTGTCTTGTTTAATACGCATCTATAAACTTATGCATACATGCAATTTTAGATGTTTCTATGTTAAATCTATGGATGTAGGAGCATGTATGTTTTGTGAGTTAGTAAACTTCTGTTACTAGCTCTAATTATTGGTTTTAGCAATGAATTACTAAGAAATTTAAGTCATTTAAATTTTTTTCTTGGATTGAAGTTTGCATGGTTGTAGTTAGTCAGGTTAAGTGAAGATTGACATAATTTGAAAACAACCAATGAATCATGTAATGTGTTTTTTGTGTTATCGTATTCACCTCAAGTGTTTGCTATCGCAGAATTGTCTTTCAGTTCGTTTCTATTGGGATATAGGTATCATAAAGTTTTGAACAATGAACCTTTAATACGGTAAGTTGGCTTTCTCAGTTCTCTTTTTATTTTTAGCAGGTCGATCCCCCCCACCCCCAAATTATTTGTGTAATCAGTCCTGGGAAACTACTATCTCTGCTATAATTTTAAAACTTTGTGAAACTTTGCAATAGAGAGGACCAATGCCTTTTAATATACTGTCTTTTACTCTTCTAATATGTGATGTATTTTTTTTAATATTATCATTTTGCATTTATTATCCTTTCCAATAGTTCTTTGAGTTGCTTAATCTGTCCTCGAGGTAAATATATTCACCGAGAGGTTGCACATAACTTGTGTGACTCATTTTTTTATATATATATTCTCATTAGACGTGTATAATAGCTATCAATGGAACCAAAAATTGGAATTCAGAAGGGTGTTAACCGGGCTTTATTGGTTCAAATTTCAAAATAACTGATTTAAGCATAATTTCAATATTTGAGATTTGCTATTAAATGTGGAATCCTGGTCATTCTTAGGTATTTTCATGCAAGTCCAGATTTACTGGCTAAAAAGAAGAACTTTGACCAGGAGTTGGGTTTAAATTTTAAGAACAAAAAACCCAAAGGGAAGTATGCCAAGAGGGAAAGGAAGCCGCCTGTTGAAGCTCCATATGTTCCTAAACTGAAGAGAACAAACAAATCCTTGCAAGAGAAAACTGTTGAGATTTTTGACGGCATGACCCTTGTTGAGCTTGCAAAGCGAACTGGCGAGGGCATAGGTGCTCTTCTGGATATTCTCATAAACCTTGGAGAAAGTACTGTGTCTGAATTTCAGCCTTTAAGCATTGATATTGCAGAACTCATTACAATGGTATTTCTCATTCTTTACTCTGACATATCTGTGAAGTATCTTATTTGCAATTTAAAATACAAAACTTGTATGCATGTGCATGTAGACCATTAGTGGAGTTTTAATGCATACCCTAGAATTATCCTTGGAACAATCTGATGATGATATCTCTTTATATTTTTATGCATTTTGTCTTGCTACAACATTTCTCTTAATTAGATATTATATTGAACCATTTATGACACAATAGGAGGTGGTATTTGCTTTTAGTCACTGAGTTTCTCTCCTTCTCCGTCATATCTTTCCTTTTGCATTAGACCCGTTTTACTTAACATGTTAAAGGTTATTTTGGGGCATATTATTACTTCTTATGGTGTTGCAGGAAGTTGGAGCCAGTGTCAAGAGGATACATGCCAGTGAAGGTAAAGAAATTCTCCTACGGCCGCCCGTTGTGACTGTCATGGGTCATGTTGACCATGGTAAAACTTCTCTTTTAGATGCTTTACGCCAAACATCAGTGGCAGCCAATGAAGCTGGAGGCATAACACAACATCTCGGTGCTTTTGTTGTTGTCATGCAGTCAGGGGCATCGATTACATTCCTTGACACCCCTGGTCATGCTGCATTTAGTGCAATGCGAGCAAGAGGTGCAGCAGTCACAGATATAGTTGTCTTAGTTGTTGCTGCAGATGATGGGGTGATGCCCCAAACTCTTGAAGCTATATCCCATGCAAAGGCAGCTAATGTTCCCATCGTGGTTGCAGTTAATAAATGTGATAAACCAGCTGCTAATGCTGAGAGAGTAAAACTACAGCTTGCTTCTGAGGGTTTGTTATTGGAGGATATGGGTGGAGATATTCAGGTGGTTGAAGTTTCAGCATTAAAGAAAACTGGATTGGATAACTTGGAGGAGGCTTTGCTACTGCAGGCTGAGGTGATGAATCTAAAAGCACGCTTTGATGGACCTGCTCAAGCTTATGTTGTTGAGGCCAGGCTTGACAAAGGACGAGGGCCGTTAGTCACTGCAATAGTAAAAGCAGGGACTTTGGTTTGTGGGCAGCATGTGGTTGTTGGCTCAGAGTGGGGCAGAATAAGAGCCATTAGAGATGTGGCTGGGATTTTGGAAGAACAGGCAACACCTGCAATGCCAGTTGAGATTGAGGGTTTGAAGGGGCTTCCAATGGCTGGTGATGACATCATCGTTGTGCAATCTGAGGAGCGAGCGAAAATGCTTAGTGCAGGGAGGAAAAATAAATCTGAGAAAGATAGGCTGTTGAAGATGACCGAAGGAAGAGCCGAGGAATTGGAACAATCAGAAGAGGTGCCTCAAAGGGTTGAAATGCCAATTATTGTAAAAGCAGATGTGCAAGGCACTGTCCAGGCTGTCACAGATGCATTGAGAACTTTAAATAGTCCTCAGGTATGTAAAAGTCTTGCTATATTATCTAACTACTACTTTTGCCTCTCTTTGTTTTCTTTATCTTAACCCCACTGCCTTGGTTGCTGATATTTATTGGGTATTCCTCACTACTGGTACAAATACTCGTATATTCTGAACTATTAATTTGTTAAAGCATTGGCCTTCTTGCCTCACTATGCCGGAAAAATTCTGGTTTGAAAATTAAAATGTAAAAAATCAGAAAGGAAGGATGGTGGTCGTTGTTATTGGCTATTGAAACTAATCTTGTTGGTTCTTTTGTGCGATGTGTTTTCTTATCAATACAGTCTCTAATTTCATTTCCAGGTTTACGTTAACGTAGTCCATGTCGGGGTGGGGCCTATTTCTCAATCAGATGTGGACCTGGCGCAGGCATGTGATGCGTGCATTGTTGGATTCAATGTGAAAAAGCCAGCGAGTTCTATTAGTATGTCAGCCATTCAAGCCAGCATAAAGGTACTAATTTCTCATTCCATCTAATCTCAATCTTTTCGTTGCGGAAAGCAGAAACCCCCCCCCCACCCCCAATTTTGAAGTACTTTTTTGGGGGTACAAAGAATTGACGTAAATGTGTTGTACAAGCACCAGAATGGAACTTTGTTGAACTAAATTATTCGTATTGCTTGTAGATACTGGTGCACCGTGTCATATATCACCTTTTGGAGGAGATTGGCAATATGATAGTGGAGAAGGCCCCTGGCACTTTCGAAATTCAGGTTGCTGGGGAGGCTGAGGTGCTGAATCTCTTTGAGATTTTGGGAAAGAACAAGGAAAGGGGTGGTGTAAAGATCGCAGGTTGCCGGGTGATTGACGGTTATGTCTCCAAATCAGCAACCATGAAGCTGTTGAGAAGTGGAGAAGTTGTGTTCGAAGGACCTTGTAAGTCGTTAAAGCAGGAGAAGCACGATGTTGAGAAAGTGGAAAAAGGGAATGAGTGTGGGCTTGTGCTCTGCGATTGTAATGATTTGCAGATTGGAGATGTCATCCAATGCTTGGAGCAAGTGATTAGGAAACCCAAGTTCATTTCATCGGAGAGTGGGGCGGTTCGAATCGAGTGCTGAACACTCCCACTTGCCGGTAAAAGTTTTTGTCCAGCATAGTAAGACGGATACACTTCCGTCGAGGACTTTATTTGTTTGACCCTGCATTTCTACATTGAAATTCATGCAAAAGTAAGCATGATGTTTAGAGTCCGAACAATTTAAGGATCAAACCGTGAATGTTGGCCTCTTCTTAAATTTGGAATTTGTCCATTAGGAGGCGATAGTGGATATTTATATGCAAGTTTTGTATACATGATAAACTTATTGACATATATAAAAGGTCATTATGTAAAAAAAAAATAAGGATCAAATTGAATTAAAAAAATATTGAAGTGTCAAATTCGATACATTGAGGGCTATATTCATTTTATGCCAAGAGAAAGTGGTGTGAAAGAGCAAATGAGTTAGGAAGATCGTCCATAGAGAGTTTATGTATTATTTGATTTAAATTAGTTAATTAATTAATTAGATATTTTTAATTTTTTAAAGATGTAGAATGTTAAAATTTTAATGTTTAATCAAATAGTTATATTTAATTTCATTTTCTACGTTTCATTTTTAGTTAAAACATTTTCTTTTGGATAAAATCATTAATTAATTAGTGAAAATCATATATAATAATAATATTATATCAAATATTTCAATTTATGAATCTGTCTTATTAAAAAAATATTATTAATTAATTAATTAATCGTTTTTATTTAAAATATGATCATTTTAATAAAACAAAAATATTAATAGTCAAAATAATTTTAAAAAAGTATTCAATCAAATATCAAAGAATCTGAGAAGTATAAGGATGGAGTCAAAACGACGCCGTTGATGCAGCCCCTCGAACAGATCGCCTCCCTCGTCGTTGGTTAAACCAAATGCCCTTTCACTTCCTCGACGAGTCCGTCACTCTCAATAAAAATCTTTGCTTCCTTCAAAAAGGCCAAACTCTTCCCTTCCACCTTCCTCTCCCTTTAAAAATAAACAAAATCTCTCCCACCAACCCCTCCATTATATCTAACCCCTTTTCTCCTTCCATTTTCCTCAGTTATTTACGCCGCCTCCCGAAAATGGAAGCCTCCACTGCTCTTTCTCGTATAGGCTTAGCCGGCTTAGCGGTCATGGGCCAAAACCTCGCTCTAAACGTCGCCGAAAAAGGCTTCCCAATCTCCGTCTACAACCGTACCACTTCCAAAGTCGACGAAACCGTCAAACGCGCCGAAGATGAAGGCCAACTCCCGCTCTTCGGCCAGTACTCCCCTCGGGAATTTGTTCTCTCAATCCAACGGCCCAGATCTGTCGTCATCTTAGTCAAAGCTGGCGCACCCGTCGACCAAACTATAGCCGCTTTATCCGACCATATGGAGCCCGGTGACTGCATCATCGATGGTGGTAACGAGTGGTACGAGAACACCGAGAGAAGGATGCAAGAGGTTTCGAATAAGGGTCTTCTTTATCTCGGTATGGGTGTTTCCGGGGGTGAAGAGGGAGCCCGATATGGCCCGTCGTTAATGCCCGGCGGATCTCACCAAGCGTATACAAATATCAAAGACATACTCGAGAAAGTGGCGGCGCAAGTAGAAGATGGACCCTGCGTTACTTACATTGGCGAAGGCGGATCAGGTAATTTCGTTAAAATGATTCATAATGGAATCGAATACGGTGATATGCAGTTGATTTCTGAAGCTTATGATGTGCTTAAACATGTTGGGGGACTTTCGAATGATGAATTAGCGCAGATTTTCGCCGAATGGAATCGGGGAGAGCTTGAGAGTTTCTTAATTGAGATAACTTCTGATATTTTTAGAGTTAAGGATGATTTGGGAGATGGGTATTTGGTAGATAAGATTTTGGATAAGACTGGGATGAAAGGTACTGGGAAATGGACAGTGCAGCAAGCTGCTGAGTTGTCTGTTGCTGCCCCTACAATCGCAGCGTCATTGGATTGTAGGTATTTGAGCGGGTTAAAGGAGGAGAGGGAAAATGCAAGTGAGGTTTTGAAACAAGCTGGGTTGAAAGAGGAAGCTGGGAGTTTAGCTCAGGGGATTGATAAGAAAAGATTGATTGATGATGTTAGGCAAGCTTTATACGCCTCGAAGATATGTAGTTATGCTCAAGGGATGAATTTGTTGAGAGCCAAGAGTCTTGAAAAAGGGTGGAAGTTGAACTTGGGAGAGTTGGCTAGGATTTGGAAAGGTGGGTGTATCATTAGGGCTGTGTTTTTGGATAGGATCAAGAAGGCTTACCAAAGGAACCCCGATTTAGCTAGCTTGCTTGTGGACCCGGAGTTTGCTCTGGAGATGGTTCAGAGGCAGCCTGCTTGGAGGAGAGTTGTGGGGTTGGCTATCTCTGCTGGGATCAGCACACCAGGAATGTGTGCTAGCCTTTCTTATTTCGATACCTATAGGCGTGCAAGGCTCCCGGCAAATCTTGTGCAGGCACAGAGGGACTTGTTCGGGGCACACACCTATGAGAGGACTGATCGTCCAGGGTCATTCCATACGGAGTGGAAAAAGGTTGCACACGGTGTTGGTGCGCTCAATTGAGCTTTCCTAGTTTTCTTGTTTGTTTCAATTGAGCGTTGGTTGTGTTTCTATGTTGGAATAGGATTCTACAATAGCATTGCTATGATAGTTCAATCTTGCAGCTTTCTTTTTCTTCTAATATAAATGCCTACCTCGGCATTGCCCATTCTGGTAAAGCTTTGTATTCCTGTTATACTGGCAAGTTTAAACAAGAAATGATGACGTGAATAATAATTGCAAATTTTGTGTACCTTTGTTCGTAGTGTAAAAGGCTAGAAACCCTTTCTTGCATCGATTGCCAAATAGAATTCTGTCAATTCATGGCAAATAACATTATCATGCATAGGCTATAATACTTTTTACAATGAAAAGCAAAAAGATATAGGAATCAGTACAACTCTAAAATCACACTCATTGTCTGATCAGCCATCAGGGTCGGGCTGTAAACGAGTTTTGAGTATTGCTGAGCTCGATTAGACTTGAAAACTCTGAAATGAAGTTCTACTTGGTTCAAAAACTCACGAGCCTAAATTTTCAAGTTTGACTCGAACTCGAAATCTTGAATTGAAGTTCGAAAAAGCTAAAAAAGCTTGAGAAAAAAAATTCTTAAACTTAATCCAGTTAAAACTCGAACTTGAATATTAAGTACATTTATACAATATATATTTTTTTAAAAATCAACACATAAATGTTAATATTATTAATAATTTATTTTTTAATTTTTTTTAATATATTATTTTTTAATAGCTCGCGAGCTTTTGAGTTGAGTATGAATTAGCTCATTTCGTCTCGTTAAAAATTCGAATTAATCTCATGCTCGAGTCGAGTATTTATCAAATTTTGACCGAATCGATCTTAAATAACTGGTGATCGGACTCGTCACGTTTACGGTCCTAGACCAGGGAATACAAATACAACCTTTACTCCTGTGAAAGTGTAATTCCCTTTGTGATGCAGGGGGATCCGAGACAGATGATGCTGAGCTGTCAGATTGCACGTTGATGGCGCTGAGATACCATGAGTTGGCAGATCAGCGCAAAGGCGGGAATTGATTGTGACATGTTCCTCATTGGGGTCGTTTTGAGTATGTTTCAGTCTTTTGGCCATAACTTTGGCTACAAGTGTCAGAATCGCGCATAAGACCCCAATCCGGAAAGCTCTTTTCGACGCGCACGCTCTCCATACGCTCTATGTGGCCTTTTTTTCAACCTCAAATTCTGCCATTTTCCCCTCCGAATCACTAGATTTAGTTATTTTTTACTATTTATGGTAATATTTCGATTGTTAATTAAGAAGTCAATTTAAATCCGATTTAGGCCGGATTTTTGGGAGATTGCTTATTTTATTTCGAATTTCAATTTAGAGTGATTTTCGGGATTTTGCTATTTTTGGCAAAATTCGAATAAAGACGATTTTTTTGCTATAACAGTCCGGCTTGTGGACTGCTTTTTGACAGTTTTGATTTTATAATATTTTATTAAACCCTAGAGACTTTTTCTCTGGTTTTTGGACGAATTTTCTCTTGTGAATCGTCTGTCGGAGCTAGGCTACAGGATAATCACTATTCTGTCTGGCGTCACTTTGCTTACGTAATCCCCAGTTGGCTTTGACCTTGCTGCAAACTCATAGTCAACAGCAAAAGTAACGGATCCCCTCTCTTTCATTACCCAAAATAGCCCAAAGCAGTGGAATGAGCTCTGCTGATCCATGTTGCAATGAGCAGACAAGAAAAATTCTTGTCCACCAAGATGAAATGCCTAGGAATAAACCCTAGCAGCCGGAAATAGATGTGTACACTCCTCATGCTTCAGATCCAGGTACACAACACACTGATGCCGTGGCAGTTCAAACTCTACAACCTTGACCGGGACGGTACTTGTATGCTCGCTCCACAAAGCAATGATGATTGGCACTACTACTAACCTCTTCTGCTGCAAGTACTCGCTGTCGGTATGGTGTCTCAGCCTTGAAAAGGGAGCTTTGGCACAACTTTGGCTGCGAGTACTAGATCAAAGTCAATGCAGGCTAAAACTTTCTTCAGCTTTCTGCAAATCATATATAGAAAAACGAATTAGGCGACTAAGGCGTCTAGCAAAAATTCCACGATTTCTGGATAATGAGTCCCAGCACACTTCAGCACAAAGTCGTGAACAGCATGCTCTAAAGCTACCTGGAGATAATCGGTGGAAATACTGCCTCCATATCAGCAAGAGGCAAGATGAGTTCCTCCTCCTGAAACCTTACCAAAAAAAAAAGAATGCCATTTATTTCACATAGTTTGCCATTTGAGCTAGTCATAAATAAACAGCACACACAAGACTGCATTCCTAGCCACATTGCTTTTAAAAGAAGAATGCCCGCTATTTAACGGGAAGGTGGAACTTCAAAACAAAACCATATACCAACAAAAGGATGCCACACCCTCATATATCAGTAACAAAAGAAGCAGCCTCGTTACAGTTAAGAAATTACTCAAAATATATGTATTTAATAGTGGCACTCACTTGATATCTATCAGCAAGAAACTGCTTTGCTGCATCTGTCAGGTCCAAATTCAAGTAAAGCCGATTCACAGGTCATAGGCAGGTTTCGTAACAATTAACTACAATATCTCATGCACCATGCAACCTCGAATCTGTCAGAAACCATCAACACATCTAACAAGGCAGTAGCCAGTAGGTGTGTGATTGTTGATAATTTGTTGCTGTACATAAAATTAAGCCGGTCTAGGAGAGATGTTTCTTCTGCTCCGGGAAAAAAATCCAAACAAACATTAGGTCATATAACCCCAAGACACATGACCTAATAAAGAATACAATGAAAGAAAACAACAAACCAGCATCCCTAAACGAGACTAATGTGTACAAAGATCTGTGTCCGGCACTCGCATGCCCAAAAATCCTCCAAAAGCTCAACTACAAAGCAAGTTATAAAAAATCTACAACAAAAACGCTTGTTTTATTTTCCAAATCTGAAGTTTCTTCCGTCGGCTTTTTCATCTTTATAGATTGTATTCCGTATATCATTTCTTCTGCAACGTGGTAGTTAATGGTTATTGGTAAATAAAACTGATTTTTCTATCCAATTTTTAGCAGCAAGAAACACATCCAAGTAGCAATTAGCAAACGCGAATTGAAAACGGGCTTTCCAGTAAATCTGAACACAGGTTAATTTGGGCTTAGATGGCCGAGTTATACTCACTTTTTCGGCCATAGAAAGACCAAGGGCTCTTATAATTGGGTCTCGTAATGAAACACCACGATTCTATACTTATAATAAATAAATAAATAAAAATTTGTCTTATGATAAAATAAAATAAAATAAAAATATTCAAAGTTTAAATAAAAATAAATAATAAAAATTAAAAAATTAATTAAAGATAAATTGAAAGATCAAACGATTCAATTTTTAATATTTTACTTTTCTATAAATTTCATTTTCTTTCTTAAAAATATAAATAAATAAGAACATCATAATTAACATATGGCAAAATGGATGAGATAATTGTCTCAAGCGAGACGCAGTTTGTTTTAAGAAAAACAATCTCAAGTGAGATAAATTTCTGTTTGAAAACATTCTGCACTGAAGGTCTTATGGATGGCCCGCAGGACTTATAAATTTGAGAAATAGTTTACTAAGTAAGAAACTTTGGAAACCATTTTCTTACTATTCAACAATTTCATTTTCAGAAAAGATTAAATGAGAAACTTTGGAAATCGTTGAAGATACTAATTTTTCATCCATTTGTTTTATTATCGTTATTATTATTTTATTTGTTACTATTATTATTTTATAATCATATTATTATTATTTATATTATTAATATTATTATTATTTACATTACAGACCCAGACCGGCCCAGTTACAAGAAACCAACCCAGACCGGCCCAATAATAAACCCTAAACCCATTTAAGGTTTATATTAATTTATCCAGTCGTTCTCAATCATCAGCCGTTGGATCTAATGAGATCCAACGGTCCCAGATGCACCAGCTTGAAACCCTAGGGTTACGCGGCCACCGGTCTACGCCAATCCAGCCACTGCCACGAAGCCTCCAGAAGCCCCAACAACGACTGTCCATGTTAAAGGCTACGGTGAGTCACCACATAGTTTAGTGACTCACCAAAGTTTCCCCTATTGACCGGTCTAAAGACATCGCCGATGGTGGCTATAAAAGCCACCGAGCCCTGCAAAGAGAGGAGGGAGGAAGCCAAAGTACAACAGCAACAGAAACAAAAAAAAACGAGAGAAAACAGAGCGAGAACGAGGGACTTACCACCGAGGAGAGTCCAATCGACGCCGGAGACGTTGTATCAACCGAGGTAAAGGATTCGGTTTTCCTAGATCTACGAACATTTAAGGGGATTTAGGGAAAACAGAGGTTGTATTCGGCCTTAGGAGGTCAAAACCTATGCTCTAGTGAAATTTGGGAGTTCTGGCCACCGTAAGCAGTGACGGTCAGCGCCGGATTGCGTCTGCCGGCCGGTGCCCTCTCTCTCCGTTTTAGAGAGAGAGAGAGAATGAGAGAGAAGAGAAATGAAAATTTGGCCTTAAGGTCGTTTGGATTAGGGTTTAAATATCATTCACCGAATGATATCGTTTTGGGGAGGGGTGTTTCTATAATTTTGAACGGGTAATTTATACCCACAACCATTATAAATTTGTGACTTTATATTTTAGTCACTGAATCAAATTTTATATCTTTTTAATTCGGTATATGAATTTTAATTCCATTATAATTTGATCACTGATTTAATTATAGGTAAAATAACCGAATTAGCCATTATGATTTTAATAATTATTATTTTAATCGAACAACATGTTTTAATTGATCTCAATTTAATGTTCAAATTTTATATAATTTTATTTTAATCCCTACATTAACAAATAGGTAATATAGCATGTTTAACCACTGTATTTTTTAAAAAATTAATTATTATTTAGGATAATTAATTTTAATATATTTTAATTTAGTCATTAGTTTTAATATTTTCAATTACAAGCTTTATTGCTTTATATTTTAAAATATATAGTTTTAATTTTATTTATTTTGGTCACTATTTAGTTGTATTTCAGTTTTTTATGTTTATTTTTTAAATACATTTATTATTATTATTACTATTAAATATATATAATAAATAAATATTATTTATTTATTTTTTATCCTATTTATAAATTTAATTTTATAAATGAATTTTAAGAAAAGTAATTATATTTTAATATTTATTTTTCAAATATTAAGA